GTCACATACTCAGGTTTGAAATATTTTTTTTGTATTTTGCAGGTACTATAAGATTTAATAGAATTCTAACTTTGATGCAATACGATGATGAATGACTTTTGCTAATTTGTTTAATACTTATTACATCGTTTAAACGTAAGAGTATAAGTGAGATCGTACGCAATGAGAGTTGTTATATTAATTACTATTAATGTACTTAAAACTTAAGTACATAGTTATAAAAAAAATAAAACCCTGTACCGAAGTATAATATAATAGTATATACTATGTGTATAAATATTAAATAAACATATATTATATTCTCATAATCTTATATATTTGTATACATAATATACATATTTAATGTTTCTGTTGCAATTGTTAAATCGAGTTACAAGGACAATTGAAATTTGATGATAAAATCTCAGGTAGATAATACAGCATATACACGATGCAATATGATCCATGAATATAATATATATATGGTTATAAATTCACACAGTTATAAAATGTTCAATCATATTATGTATCAACTGATCCATTTAACGCAGGGTACTCATTATTTTATAAACTATTCATGTTTTTGAAATTATGTCTGTTTTCATAATTTTTAGTCATTAACAAACAACATTTTCTTAAAAGCCTATAGCTTATATCGTTATTAGTTTTTGATTGTTACCCTCTTTTTAATAACAAAATGCATTTTATATACGCAATTATATTTTTGACTCTTCGTTATCGTTATTATTTTTTAAGTTTTTAATTTTTGGAAAAACAACATAAATTATAAATTCCGAGAGGAGCGGTGAATGTATATATTGATTTTACAATTATGTGTTTTTTTCTGTCTGAAAAAATGTTTTCTAGTTGGAAATATTCTATGATTCTAAACTTCAGTAACTTTTTCTGGTGGTAAAGTGAATCAACTTGGTAGTTTTAGGAGGTAAAGTTGAAAATTCCCAGTAGTTTTCTAAAGCGCCTGGAAAAACGAGAATTTGTAAGCAAAACCAATTTTCAATTACTTGTAATGACTTTAAAGACAATTCTGTAAAACATTTTTTTTTTTTAAATATTGTGTTATGTTAAACGGACCATCCGTATAGTTTAGTAAATATAAAAATCGGGAAAGTGATATTGTAATAATATTCACCTAAAACAAATCATTATCTATAGATTATTAAGATTGTTTTTAAATATGCCTCATCGTTTGCATTTTTCGATTTTCATAATTATAATACATAGCGTTGGCACATAATCCACTACCCACGTTGTGAATTTCTTGAAAAAAACTATAGAAATCTTTTAGTATTAACCTCGCTTTAGTAATTTTGCTGCTGTAATGACAATAAAAGTTGAAAAATCTCATTACCCGAGAAAAATGTCACTATTTTCAAATTGCCTGGTTTACGATTATACTCAAGAGAACTTTGGTTATTCTGCTGGCTATGGAGCCTCACATATAATGTCATATTGCTACACTAGCCTCGGACCAGGCATTTGATGCTATCTTTATACTCTTGGAAGCACCCAGTCAACGACGGTGGTTGCAGTAGGTGTCTTCAAAGAGTTAAAAGTGTAAAAATCACACTATTAGTATATACAAAAAATAACATTTGTGTGATAATATTAATTTTGATAAAACAAAATAATGTATAAAAGCGAGTCAACCTTTACTGAAAATCATTCTAACCATCAGCCCAGTCATCTTTAAAGAAACTAGCCATACCACTCAACCCTTCCCTCTCAATAAATATTAGCAAACTAATGTCAAGTTATTTGAATAATTTATTCACTAATTTCTCATTTCTCATTTCTCATTTGACTCAAGTCATCTTCAGTCTCTTAAATAATAAAAATCGAAAAGTACATACAGTAAAAAACAGATTTAATAACCTAAGTCTAGCACGTTGTAACGAGGCTGACTTTTATCTCGAGCCTTACCTGCATCTATAATCATAATTAGTAAAATATATTGAATGTGTTATAATTTGTACAATAATTATTGTACAAATTGTTTATTACAGATAAAGGCGAAAAAATAGGGCACAATAAGTTACTACTTCTGTACTATGGCCGCCCCATATACATTTCAGTCCAATTATTGTCGGACACTACAATAGTTAACGTTTAATAGTACATAGCTCACGCGGCACGTTAGCGGCTATCATTACATGACCTTCCAAGGTCTGGGTCGATGACTATTAAAGAAAAACAATAACCACGGACGAGGTACCTAACCTAATTCGCATATAATATGTTAGTAGGTGTACGTTTTTATGAATTGCATTTTTTTTTTTATTTGAAACTTGTTACACTTATACAAGCCGATTCTTTAACAAAAAGTAGGTATTAACATTGGAAAATATTTTTTTTACATAATTTAAATTCATAAACTCATAAAAAAATATATAAAATATTTATTCAAAAAAGTTGTTTTGTAATTAATTCAAAATTTGTACCTATTTGTTTAAAATACACTTATTAATTGTATACTTTTCGAGATAAAGAGTGTTTATCGTTAAATAAGTAGGTAGGTCTAACCTACCTACCCAGGTTATTATTACGAGTTGCAACTTGCAAGACTACCTATATATGGGACAAGTTGAAAGTGGTAAATATTCAAATATTTCAATAAAGAAACGAAAGAGTACTTATGTATTTAAAATATAAGTTGTAACTTCATACTCAAATACTAAAGATATAAACTATTAGGTAATATTTGCAATAAATTATGTCAACTCAACAATCCTTAAACGGTTTAATATTTTTATTTATAAACTATCGCATTGTGACCAAAATATGATACTGCGTGTCGCGTTTAACCTGATACATACCTAATATAGATAGATGTTCGATTAATATAATATAAGTATATAATATAATTAAATGTAGGTAATACCTAGTAAGTAGTAGGTATACATTAAAATTTAAAAGTCACATAGGTACATAACTTAATATAAATCAATATTTTTGACAAACTTAACTCTATAAACTTAAGAAAAAAATAATATTTTTATATCAAAAATAGTTGATTATTAACATGTTTGATGTAGAATAATATTTTTTCAATAATGTCATTGTCCAATATCAGCAATTATTATCTTAATAATACAAGTTAAGGGTAAACTGAAAACACTCGATATTTTTTAAAATATAAAAATACAATAGTTATTTTTATTTTCTAAACATTCATTTTATATTTATAATAATTATGATATGTGGATTTTAGACATTGGACTGATAAGCATACAATTTAATCAACCTCAAATAAATCACAATAGCATTTGCAATAATTCAATTTTAAAATAAAATGTTTACTGTCTATAAGAAAATACCTATTTCATTCGATATATCTTATTATACTTTATATACATTTTAAGTACATTTAGCCAGGTTAGTGTTGCAGGGTTGAATCCAGACAATTTTTCTCGGTGGGATGGGGAATTTTTTTTTTAGTCTTATATTTTAGTATTATGAATTATATTCTTATTTATTAGGTAGTAATTAAAAGTTACAATTAAGAAATTTTAAATAATAAATAACTACAAGATAAAATTTCTTGAACAATGAACACGATTAAATAATTTGTATGTAATCGAACGAGCATTGTACATTCAATAAATAAAACAACTACAACAATAAATACATATTGCGGACAGTTGTATTATTGTCAGCTAGTGGATTCATTTGCCCCCTGAAGTACCTATACCTGGATTCAACACCGTAGATAGGTTAAGTAAGCCTACATGGTACCTACCTAAAGAAAACATCCAAAAATATTTTTCGTGTTTAAAAATAAGTTAAAAAGTTAACTTCTATTGAAACTTTAATCGCAATTTCAGGTCTCACGTAAATTAAAACAAATCATTAATGAATCTGCAGTTCCTATTAGTATTAGGCATCTAGTAGTTACATTAACTATGAATACTTTTATTGAACATCGTTATTAATACGCATCATTGATCATGTTCTATATCAGTGCCTATACCTAAATCCTATATTAAACACAAAGCACAAGATATTATATAGATACCTATTTAATAGTTACCTAATTAAGTATAATAATATATTTTAATTCTAGTATACCTATATACTTTGATTATACTATTATAAACACCGCATATAAATGCTTATACTTTAAATTTGGTTGGTTTTTATAATTTATGGTATACTTTAGAATACATTTTGCATAGGCAGACTTTCAAATTTCTGAAGAATTCATATATTTGTGTACTTTTTCGTTGTGTAATTAAATTAATTAAATATTAGATGAAAAATAGTATATTATGCGGCTTTATTTTGTTTAAGGTGGTATTGAGAAAACATCAATATCACAAACAAATAAAATAATGTATATCTTTCTGTCAATAAGAATGGTGAAATATCAAATACCTCGATAATTAAAAATTGTAATTTAACCATAGACACAATGCGCAATGTGTCGATAAACAATTGATATAGTGATAATCGAAATAATACTGTTCGCGTGAACTTCTTTGGGTGCAGCACAAGTCATGACCGAACCTTTATTCGCAAAATAATATCATAGTTTAATAATAATTATAATATAAGTAGGTATAGATTATCATAAATTATTATAAGTAAGTTAGGTAGGTACATGGGAATTGGCTAGGTATAATTCAGAAACTGCGATATTGACATAAATCGGGTTATTGAAACTCTGAACTCCAGAACGATTGCAAAAAATTATGTCACTGCTAATAGTGTTATGATATTTGTAATGCGTATCATCATGAGTCATGGCCAGCACGGGAACGAGATGACAATATTATTATAATTACTTTGAAATTTAGAACAAAAGTCAGTTATGACAACCTTTTCGTCGGAATGAAATCGCTCGTGGCTTGATATATCAGCTACCATTCGAACGAAATCGCCTGTACATATTTAGGTAGGTACCCACTTCGTTTTAGGCACGGCCTGTCACCAGCATGTATATACATAATAATAATGGTGATGTACGTTTATAGAAACCGACGATCGCGCACAACATCACTTACCTTTGGGCCTGGTCATCTTGGAATAGATGTTTTAGAAGATTCGACTTAATATCGGCGAGACGGATGTAAAAAACAATGTACAAACGGCTACGGGTCAGTTCTGTCGTAGACTGCGCGGACTGTGGCAGCGGAAAAGTGCGTACGACCGTGCGTACGTCGACTGATGAGAAAACTGGTCGTCGATTCGTATTTTGTTTGGTGGCGAGCTCGCGTGAGACGAGTGGCGACGGGTGGCGATGGGTGGCGGCGGGTGGCGGCGACGGCGATGGCATGTGTGCGCGGAGGACCAAAAACACGCTTATATAATATGTATATATATAATTGGGTACCTATACTGCAGTCACACAGACCTGTATTCTTATTTTTGTTTTTTACTCACTATCGCGAATGGGAGCTTCTCGTGAGGATTTTTTTGTTTTCGTTATCAAGCTTCCCGACCCCGCGCCCGCCTACTACACATCCTTGACACGCACTCATACTTATATAATACTTTTATACGACGACGTACGGACGGACGTTGGCCACGCGAAAGGACTATGATAATATTATCAACTATAGGTATAAAATGATAATATTACCTAATTAATATAATGTACATGCGATCGCCGAATGGACATGCCGGACACACTTTTTACTCGTGCTTATTGTCGTTATTTATGTAATGTTATTCACTAAGTATTGCAGTCTACATTTTGTCCTTTGGTAATAAGTTTATTGTAATTCTGAATTTTTGGAACTTACTAGAGTTCTGACCTAAACTTAAGGAGTGTTCTGTCTTCTGTGTTACAAAATTCTTTTTATAATCGGTAGACGATAAAATTATGTTTTTGGGCTGAGTTCAACGTTTTTTTATAATATTTTATTAACACGTTGATGAACCAGTTGTGTATCGAGATTCCAATGGTACTTCAGGCATGGACATTTTGAAAAAGGGCTCCTACATGAAACGTCAAACGATAAAAAAAAGGCCCAAATATGGAGGGGGTCCATCGGGAGATTCCCGGCTTCCCGGTAGGACCTATCCACGCATGAATTTTCAGAGCTAAGTGTTGTAAAAATAATAAATAATATAATGTTACTTTATCTATACTCAGTGTTCGGTAGTGCTGGAAACGTATAAGAAACTTCGTGACACGTCATTTGGGAGGTAATATTCCTAACTCATTTGTGTATTGCTCTTCATTTTGAGGAAATAATTTTAGAACATTTTATTTGTATCAGACTTTAGTGTATCTATTTTTTAGTAAAACTATAATTTAATTTATTATTCAGATATACGATATACCATACATATTACACATAAATTATGTATAAAATAACTTTGAAAATTGTAAATTAAATTAAATATTAGTAATTATTCAATACAGAATATTATTAAAAGAAAAAAACTCATGTACAAAAACCATTTATAGCACTTCCGGGTACCTCTAAGAGTCTGGATTCTCATATGATTGCACTGTTTGGTCCCTACATTACGCCATTGAATTTAAAATTTTAAAGTGAACGTGAACTGAAATAATGGAAATGTCAAATATTCGTTTTTTTACAAATTAATAATTAATTTTTTTTTCTTCGGGCATCTAAGCGATGTTCTATTCTTATGAAGGTCGCAGACACGGAAGATATTGTCGATCAATATATTACTGCAGTGACGTCAATCCAATACACTATTAAGAACCTACTGATAATTAGAAAACCGATAAAAATCTGGGCATAATATTATATTTAGTGAAACGATAATTGTTTATGTTACTGTTTTTTATATATGTACTCTTCCGAAAGTTATTATAAGTATACCTACTCATTGCTGTACTCACCAATACTTAAAAAATTTATAATTTGTACCTACAGAATGTATATTTTTAAATTTCTTAGTATTCCCATTTCCTGGTATAGGTAGGTACTAGACGCAATAGGCGCATACATAATATACATATACATTATAAATATACATAAATAATATTATTATTTTTGTATACAATAACGGAAATAGTTTCAAATATAATATTATCAATCAATACGATTAGAAAATTGTGTGACGGATTCGATTGCTAAATATAAATAATAATATAATAATATATACAGGTGTTCCGTGAGGATTCAGTTATTACCCATTGCGATATTTCCTGGAATAATGGAGATGTCATAGTTCTGGTTTTTTAATAAGTCTCGTGGGGACAAGAACTACAAATATTTCAAGTTTTAATTAATTGTAATGGTTTTTGTAAAAAAGTTAAAAAATACATTTTTTTATTTAATTATTTTCCGAAAAATTGAATATGGCCGTTTCAACATTTTTGTTCCAGTTAATCTCGTAGTTCTTAATATTTTTCTTAGGTTCGAGAAAAATTATGAATTATTTAATACCATAGTGGTATCAAACATGTGACCCGCAATTTTTCTCAATTGGAAAACATTTTTAAAATTCAGGAGATTAATGAAAATAAAATGTTGAAACGGCAATATTTTCAGAAACATGAACTCTACCAAATAATGATCTTCAAATTTTTGGAAAATAATTAAATAAAAATATATATTTCTTATCTTTTTTACCAAAACATCAAAATTAATTAAAACATGAAATATTTTTAGCTCTATATCATTCTTGTTCAAATGCATAGGTGAAAAAACATTATAAACTTAGGAGGGAGCCAGAGGGGTCAAAGTTTTTAACATCAATTTTAGCCCCCGTGACTACGATCTTACACAAATAAAAAGCAATCTGTTTTTTTCGGGAGTTGGGGGCTTAGCACTTAGAGTTCACATATATTTTAATATCTTACAGTTTAGCAGGGTCAAAATTTAGGTGGCCTGGAATAAATTTATGTAAAAAAAATTAACATAATTAGGGATTTTTGTATTTATACTAAAATACAATAATAATATGTATATTTATCCTTGACACACGAAGACCTGTTTTTAGGAATAATTTAATTTTTCTATAATTGATAAGATTGAAATCATTCTATTATTGACTACATTTGAAATTGTAGTGGTTATGATATTTACTATATTTTTAAACCTATTAGTTCTAAAGGCCTGCAGTATTAAAATCCATACAGCATACCTATAGTGTTTTCAACATACTAACAAATAAAAATATATAGGTGGGAAGGAACCAAAGTTTTAGCAATACTCTTATAGTGAAACATTAACTAAAGCAAGTATAAAAAGAAATAATTCTGGTGTAAAAGTACGTTTTTAAGTGAGATAGTAAGGAATGAAGGTATAGATACTCTGAATGCTACGATACCGGTCTAACAATACCCTCTGTGTATATGTTGCATCGAAGTCTACAGTTTCGTAAATAGTTGATTTAATATTTCCAAATTAAAAAATCGGGTCACAGGAAAAATGCTACATGTTTAAAACCTGTTACCAGTCTCGTTAGGTTTTCTTTAGTTTATCCAAGAGTGCCAAACAAAAGTAATATATTACATCTTGGACAATTTATTTTATTAATGTCAGGGCAAAAAAAAAAATAACGATTCACAGTAGAAGAGTAACCGAGTAACTTGTTTAGTAACTATTTAAAAAAAAAAAAAAATTAAGAAAGGATCTTAGCCTTAAACATACAATGGACATGGACTATGTGTCTATATAATAGGTTTATAATATTATAATATACTAATTACTAGTAAACATACTAATTGATTTACTTTGTCTTATACTCCCTTAAGCTACAAATGTTTTTAACTCAGTCAGTTGGATGGTTTTGACCCAATATAAAATATAGGTCTAAGATTATATTTAACTAGCTGCCCGATCTTCCTCCGGAAGAAATTATTTTTTTATAATTTAATTTAAAAATATATGACTATTTTTTGGCTATACAAATAATACAACGATTATAAAATAAAACAAAAAAAGAAACAGACATCGTTATCGGTGAATATATGAAAATAATTGGTAATTAGTTAATTATTATTAGTATGATGAGGGTTCAAAACCGGTTTCCTTCGTCTCCAAAATCAAATTAGATTCTTATATATATAGATAAATTACAATAACTATTTTATTTTCTGTTACCTATATGACGACCTATAATATAAACAATACAATATTTGTACTTTGGTAGTCAAAAAATAGATATTATACTAACCAATAATTTTATATTATTTTATATAGGTACCTATTCGAATGTATATAAAAGAAAAAATATCAAGAGTTTAAATTTGAACACGTTTAGAAAAGTACTTTTTTTGGGTAGTATATCAAGACGAAAGTTGACTAACGTAATGACCTGGACATGTGTCCAAACATACTTATACCCCGGAAGTTGAAAAAATTGATGAAGTGTGAACTTGGTACATAATGTACATGAACGTATAAGTTAAATACACTCTATAAGATCAACAATTTCAAACACATTCTGAGAATCACTGCATGTTCCAATCAACGCGGTACCTAATGTATGTCACCGTCACTGTAAATCAACTACCATGCGATCCACCCGAAAAATTATCCAAACTTATCAGCGAACTTTCAAACATCGTACGCCCATTAATTAAATTACTTTCGGTGGTTTTAGAAATATAGACTAATTAAACTCCACTTTATCATCTAAAACACCATTATAGCAGCTTAAATAAATCTATTTATATGTAATTTTAATTATCTTTATCTTATATCAATTATGAACCAATAATACTAATAATACCAATAATACTACCTTAATAATATTATCTATATTTTCTGCTTATCATTTTAGCTGGCTTTATCATATAACTTTATTAAAATTATTTTGTATTATTTAAATTTTATTGTATGACTGTATTCTCCATAGTTGTTGAGCTATCATTGTATTCAAAAAGTTAATGAAAAAAAAAAGATCAACTATTAGTATACTTTTATTAGTGTACATACATGATGGGACTGTGCGCAAACTACTTAAAAAGGGTAATTACCTACCTATATTGTTCCTAATTTTGTGCTCAAATTAATAGTAAAATTATGCGCTGGTGAGTTGTGTTTTTAGGCAAAGGCGTAACCAGGAGGCAATAGAGTATGCCATTGCATACCCTGAACTCAAAAGTGTCATTTGAGGTGATGAAAGAGTATATTTTGGTATACCATTATATTTTCTGACTAATAACTACCAAACAATTTACAAAAGCGCCAATGACCCAAACGTACAAATTACGTAATATGTATTTATAATATAACATCAATTTATTTTTT